TTTAAGTGTTCAAAATATTATTAAAATAAGACTTGAGATGAGATATAAAGACCATCAGTGAAGATACATGGAACTTATTCCGATAAGGCCTTGCATGACTTTTTTCCACTTGTATTAAAAACAGTGCTGAGTAATATTCAAGTTAGCTGTGATTTAATATGACATTTAGTAGATTTTCCTCTAGCACACAGCGCAGACCAGGCAGCACCCATGGGAATCCTCTCTCCTGGTACACAGTTAACATTCTGCATTTGTCCGGCACTCTGTAATTTATTGGATCTCATCTGTCCGGGCTTTGATTTATATATTGATTTGAAAAATAAATAAAAGTGATAGGAACCTGCATTGGGGTGTAATGATGGACTGTGTCGACATGCAGGAGTAGGGATATGAAACATTGGGAGGAAATTAGATATTATGCCCCCAAGACAACTGCAGCCAGCAGCACATTCATTATTGGCTGGATATTTATTATTAAGAATTTCTCTTCATGAGTGACTGCTGCGGAATATTTCGGCCCTGCTTGAGCTAACAAAATGGTGTGTGTGTCTGAAGAGTATCTACATGTGTTTGCATGCGTGTGCACAAATGTTTGTCGGTGGATGCTGACAAGCCAAATACAAGAACATTTGGCTTGTCATATGTTAGACTCTTTATAGTAACATACATACACTGCTCTACAAGCTCCTCGGGTGAAACTGAAAAATACATGCAGTACATGTATAAAAACCCCTGATTTTTGGTTATACAATTCACAATTACACCCTCCGACTCCATGTTTCAACCTGACAGGAATACATTCACAGAAACAGTGGCGTAGAAAAACACTAGACAGCTGTTAAAAAACCGAAACTCCTTGCCAGGACTTCCACCACCGCTCTGCACCAGTTTTAATCACAGAACAGTGAATTTTAAACAGCAGTATAGAGAAGGGCCGCTGTCCAAGCCTCCAGAATTTTTATTTCATTTTTTCCCTCCCACCTCTCCGCTCTAATCCACTTCAATTATGTTCCCTCCCATTTCTCCTGATCACTTTACAGCTCAGCAGCACCTGTGCTAATTGTAGTAGTGATGATCGCTGATATGTTTTGCATTCTTAAAGGAGTTTGAGAGGGGGACGACAGATAAACATCTAGCCCCGGGGCTTTTGGAAAGCATGGCTCAGCCTAGCAGATGGCCATCATATTATATGAGGAGTGCTTCTCGCTGAGGCTGGGGTATGGGTGGGTGGGGTGTAATGAGTCTGAGGTAGGAGGAAGAAGAGAGGTGGGGAGGGGGCTGATGTGGAAAGGAAAGTAAGGAAGGAAAGGAATAGGGAGGAAATAAATGAAGGAAAGAAAAAAGAAGGTTTAGAAAGAATGAATCCATATTTATGGAAAATGGACAGAGAATTATTCCTATTGTACATGTCAACTGTCAATACCTTTAATAGTTCTTGTAGTTTTCTTGTAGAGTTTTGGAAATGTCTGTTTTTGGAAATGTCTGTTTTTGGAAATGTCTGTTTTTGCTGAGTGTTAGATAAGAAAATCAAAACCACTCTCACATCTCTTTAAGGCAAATGTGAAACTACAGCAAGCAGCTGGTTAGCTTAGCTTAGCACAAAGACTGGAAACTGAGGGAAACAGCTAGCCTGGCTCAGTCTGATGGTAACAAAACCCCTCTACAAGCACCTCAAGATCTTATATGTTTGAGACGTAAAAGTACAGAAATGTAAAAAACAACAAATTGTTGACTGTTACCTCATAGTGAAGACAACTACATTAAGTAAGGCTACTGCGCAACTCATTACAAAACTTACACCACTTAGTGGTTGGATTCTTCTAGATCTTCTCATCCAGCTCAGCAAGAATGTAAATAAGTGTATTTCCCAAAATGTCAAAATATTTCTTAAAAATACGAAGACATATTTAAAATGTTCTCAGATTTAAGAAAAATATAAGAAGTGAATCTCAACTCATTCAAATACTGCATATAATCATACACCTGACATAAGTTTCCAAATACATCTATAGAGCCACTATATTTGTTTGTGTGTGTACCTCCTATTTAGCCAAGGACGACAGACATTGTGTGTGTGTATGTGAGAGAGAGAGCAGGTGTGTGCGTACATGTGTCTCTGAGAGCGACTGCGTATCCCTCACCTCGCCACCTTGCTGCCCCCACTGAACCGATTGCACCTATAATGAATGGACTGCCAGCCCTCCGTGCTGTGGCTATCCGAGGTCGGACCACATATTATATAGCAACCTATTTGAAGTGGACCGCATATTATATAGCAGCCTATTTGCTGGGATGATGAGCTCCGGACACCTCCCATTATTTATTAGGAAATGCTGCAGCCATGTGAGAGCAGAGGTTGGATGGCCTCTGTTACCAGGTGTGTGTGTGTGTCTGTGTGTGTGTATATATGTAATGGGAAGTGGGGGTTGGATGATGAGGAGGAAGAAGAGAGAAAAACATAAAAGTAAAGACAAAAGCGTTCTACCACAGATGAATGCCTATCCTAATTTATTTCAATATATATAAATTATGAGCTTTATAATCACAACTTTAAACACATTTTATCAAACAGGACATCCCTTAATCATACAAGGAAACAATTCCACACATTAACATTTCATGGCCTTTCTACACACACCTAAAACACCTAAAGTCACTTACGATTAAAAAGAATGTTTGTCTAAAACAATAAAAAACAGCTGAGTTCACTGGATGGCAAATTCCTGTGTGGCTTTGAAAAATGGTCTAAATGCTCATCGTTCTAACAGGGGTCAGCTTGCTTTGTTAGGTGTGTTCTCCTGGTGCTAAAAGACAAATGATGTACTTTGCCTTAGGTCAACTGGGCTTTCCCATCCCATAATGACCTTTCAGGGAGCTGGAAGAGAGCAGCCATTCCCATAGCGATGAAGCAGTACTGTACACTGAACATCAAAGGTGTATATATTGGCAAAGTAACGTTTCAACGCTGCAACATGACCTCTCAACCTCTAATGGACTGTTTCACTGTTCATCAATCATAAAAAACAGTAGTTTAGCAAGAAGCTGTAAGTCATAAAAAAAGGCCCCTTGAAGATTTTTTTTCTCTCCCCATTTTGTGCTTGTGTGAAACCTGAATCTGCAGCCAAACAAGAAAGCATCCAAAGTCATTTTCTGTTTTCAATCGAGTAATGTGCTCCCAATATGTTCAACACTCACCACTTTGCTTTTTTGGAAGAAAAACTTAGCAACTCTCAATCTGTGTGTGTGTGTGTGTGTGTACTGCCAAAGGTTCCCTGGAGGAGAGAGGATCTCTGTCAGTTTGTCATCAGACACAAGCTGCCAAATTTTATGAAATACCAAATTACTAATTGGCCCAGCGTTAGGTTTCCCGCCTGGAAGTGAGACTGTAATATCTGGGCCTCTATTAGGATCACAGAGAGAGCTGCCTCCTGCTGAGCTGGCAAGTCTCTGTCATTTCACACCATGCTATGGCAGTGGCACTCACGCACATACACACACACACACACACACACATAAAGTGATCATCAAGGACAAAAGACTTCTCAAACATTCCCTATTTATTCCTTGCCTACTTAAATATCTCCTTGATTGGGCTTTGTTGGATTTGCAGCCAATTAAAAAAAAAAAAAAAGGGGAAAGATTTTCATTACCGGATGTGGGAATTCATGTAATTTAACACTTCACTGACCTCTGTAGAAAAATTCTCTTGCTACCTGTATACCTCCACTGAGAGGTCAAAATGCATGGTCAGCAGACAAAACATCAGCGCTGGATTCCTGCTCCAGGGCACTTTGCCGGGGAGGATTCTGGATCCGAGGTTGAAGGACGGTGTCTCTAGTCATTTGGTGACCCTGCAGCTTACAACTCATTTATCACAGGACAAGAATTTATTTATATTTTGTGGATATTTCGACTCATAATAAAACCTTGTTTTATGGAGTTTACTGTGTATAGTTATATTTACAACTATAGCAGCAGTACCTGTCAGATCTCTACTGCACATCCAAAAGGGGTCTGCTGTATACTATCTGGTAAAGAGTGAACAGGACTGGACAAGCATAAATCTCTTGGGCAATGACTATATAAGCACTGGATTACATTTTGCCCACTGAAACCAGATGCACAGTGATATATAGACTAAAAGCAGGGATTCTGTGATGGTGATGTTTGCATTAAAGACAGGAGAAAATCCCTATACAGTCACCTACTGTTACACACTAATGTGTGTTAGTCAATGAGGAAACAATTTTAACCGAGAAAAATTAAAACTTAGAATAAATCTCAGCATAATATCCTCGAATGGCCCAACAGAGGAAACTGTGGTGCTATGCTGAAGAACCAGGTGTGAGCTTCATCACATCATCATTCAGAGTGAATGGAGATTGGCATTCATGTGAATGAGACACACACAGGATGGATCCAAATGAATAGGACAGCCTAGGCACAATGAAGACGGCTGTTTATTTTCTGTCTAGCAGTGCTATCTTTTTTTTTTTTTTTTAGGACTCCTAATCAAACATGCCTAAGGCCACTGGATGGATAAACACACACACGCACACACACACAGAGTTTTGGCCCAATTTCAGCTCTTCTCTCAAGCGGTGCAAAGGGGTAGAATAAGGGTTGGCTGATGACACATACATACACACACACAAAAAACACTGGACTTTCAGAGAAATGTTTGTTTTAATGTAAAAAGAGTGGTACCCTTTCACCCAAACACATGGTTAGCAAATTATGGCAGTGGATATTTTTAATGTATCGATGATCCCACATTTGTCATGTAACAGGGCACCGTCAGATATAAATTACCAATAAACTATGAAAAAAAGCCACTTTTATCAAGACAATGATTATGTAAAACAAAATTTTGTTCTGGCTTCCTGGCACATGCAGGGGCAGATATGCCTTTTTTAATTTTGTCTAGTAGGGTGGGGGACAAACATTCATCTTCAGACATGGCAGGTTCACATGTCGCTCTGTGCTCTTTTGTTCCAACATTTTACTTTTTTCCAACCACTCAAGGGTTTAAGTGTGTGAGTCCTTTCCAGTGCAAAACTGTGCAATTTGGTTAGCTAAGGCGCTGGCTTCCCTTTAGAGAGTCTTAATAGTCCTCAGTGTTGTCCTCCATGTTGGGAATGTTTCTGTGGGGCTCTGAAGCATTGCTTTAAAAAAAAAAGCACCCACTAGCCTTGATCCCCTTGTAGAAAGTAGTTACAGTTCCTTCAGTTTGCTGCAGAGAGTTTGAGTAATTTCTGGTTCTACACCAGTGGCATACTGGTATATATATCACCAATCGTACTTTAATCATGTGTCAGCTGTTTTTGAGGCTGATTGGTGGTCAAACTCTGTACAACCATCCTTGGCTCAATGTTGGTGGTGATTAGGCTCATAGCTCAGGGCAGGTGCTTCAGCATATCTCCTGAACCAGGTGGGCCAAGAATATATGTGAACAGACGTACAGTCTGCCAGCGCAGGATTTCCACTACGCCTGTTGGTGCCTTTTATACGTTTTGTGAGAGAAATCGCACTTTCTTTCCTGTCAGCAGCCAGCTCCTGAGGTCCTTGATGGAAGGAAGCTTCATTTTCTCTCTGTTTTTACTGTAAACATTCAAGAAGATGCCGAAGAGCACCAGAAGGCCGCCCCAGATGTACCTGCGGAGGGAGAGATGGATAGGTTAGATACCTTTCAGGGCGGCGGAACTGATGTGAGCAGGGAAGATGCTAATTAATTAAAGAGTGGGATGCTTGGTTTCTACAAGCAACACAGCAAAGGCAGTTCAGTAGAAGACTGCTAGCAGATAAACAGCTTCAAACAATTCAGGTTTCCATAAATATTGGCTTTGTTCAACTTTCATGAAGAAGGAAATGCTTTTAGCACATTTGTTAGATCTCTTTTTAGATTTGTTAGTTTTGAAAATAAATCAGTTGGGCATCTATGCAGATGCTCCAATATAGGTTGGGAGAGATCACTGCATGCTTTGATGAGTATAGAAATGATGTGAATCATATGCAACGACCTTGAGAACACCTATGGGAGATTTTGGACAGATGTGTTAGACAGTGCTCTCAAAACACCAAATGACGAAATATTTTTTTGGAAGAATCGTGTTCCATTCCTCCAGTAAAGCACCACATACATCCATCCGTATGATCTATGCCAGAGAGCACTAAGTGGCGACTCATGGTGGCCCAACACCATGCTAAGACACAGGTTGGTTTTCTATTTAATTTGTATATTTTACTGATAATGTCCAGTTTTCTAATAAAAGGTTAATAAGATGAATTTGGTGTTTGGTCAAACTAGCTGTGTAGTGATAATACTGTACAAATACTGACAATAAAATCTTTTGTTTTAAAATGTGTAAATTGCAGTGAGGAAAGGGACTGAGTCCAGCAACGGTGGAGGGCACACACCAGCTGGAGGGAGAATGAAGTTGGCCATAAAGATACAAAAAAAGTTTTATCTTGAGTGCAGTGTGTGTGTGTATGCATGTCGAAAGTCACGGTGGAGAAATGGAGCAGGAGAGGTACAGCAGAAAATGAGACCCCTTCTGACAGCACAGAGGAGTCGGAGGGTGAGCAAGAGTGAAGGACAAGGAGAAAGAGCAGAGGAGTAGTCAAGGTCTGAAAATGGACTGAGGACATGAAAACTATAGGGGCAGGGGAGCCAAAACGAAGCCGGATTAGTTAAAGGGGAGGTCAGAGTAGACTTGCTTTAAACTAGAAGAAAAGTGATCGAAGTCAAAAGGTGACGGTACTTACTGAAAAGTGAAAGGCTTTGCGAAGAACATGAAGGAAAGTATGATAGTCATGGCCTTTCTCCCAGTGGTCACTGCAGAGGTGAAAAACACATTGGTGGTTTCACTTTACAAATAGTAAAAAAAAATCTGTTCAAAGAGACATTTATAGTCTACAGCTGCGTAATATACAGTTTTTTTAAAAAGATATTGTGAATTATGACAATTTTCTGTCTAAACTCAAATTACAAATCAATTACTAGTCATATTCTGTCTGAATTAAGAGAAGAGACGTTCTGGAAAACTGTTGCTCTGACCTGTCACTGCAACCAGGGCACCAAAGAGCTTGATCAAGGCCAGCACGAAGGAGATGCCAAAATAACCCGTAAGAGAGAAGAAGAATGCATAACCATATGTCTTCACAGGATGCTAGACGGGAGGAGAGGATAAAAGATTTATTAAAAATTTGAACACAGAAACATTACTGAAAAGCGTATCCCCCTGATGCTGCAATAACACCAGGACTTACAAAAGCAAATAAAGCGCGTACCGTAAGCCATTTAATCACCTTACGAGTATATACAGTTTAAATTAAAAAGCCGCAGCCCTTCACATTTCAGGAAATTATTATTATACTATACACAATAACTAATTAATCTGCATTTCTTAAAAAAGAAGATTTGACCTCGGCAACGTGTTTGCAACTGAAAGTTGAATATACATACAATAAACAACATCTGTGATAATAAACTGTGGGCAGCCACATAAAGTGCCACGGGTATCTAGTCTTACTGTCTTAAGGTATACTCACCTCTGAGCAGAATGCCACTGCTGGCCCCAGTCCGCCCACACAGAGCAGGCCTGTCAGTATGTAGACAAACCCGATGGAGTACGAGTACAGCACCTGTCAACACAACCCCAGTCAGTAACTTCACACACAGGATAACAACAACTGTCACAATTATCAAAGCCTAAACATAGCAGTCTGGTTTTGATGACACAATCAGGCAGATCTACATGTTCTGCACTCGCCCCCAATACTGTGTGAACAGCTGTATTTGCCAGTAGATTTACATACTTTATTAGCTCTTATCATTTTTTTTCCGGGTTAGATAAGAAAGGTACCATTTCAGAGTTGGAGCCGTTATGGAGTTTCATGGCTTTCTCCTGCACGTTACCAATGGCGGCGTCTGCACACAGTGCCAGGGAGATGAGGAGAACACCTGTATGCCCCCCCCCCACACACACACATACACACACACACAAGACAAGGAGAACACAGAATAAAGGCGTGGTTTCATTGCGGTATTAGAGCATTTCTGCTGTTGAGTCCACAAGAAATTACCTGTGACGTTGAAACTGGGGGCCACTTTGCTGTCAGCTAGCGTAAACCAGATGAGTCCCAGACTCATACAGAGAGCAGCAGACACATCAGCCAGATTATAGCGTTTACCTGGAGCACAAACACAGAGCACTGTTTCATTCTGAATGTCTATGGGCAATTCTGAAATCAGAACTCAATCAGAAATCTAGACTTCTCAAATCTCCAAAATCCCATTTTGACTTCCTTTACAAAAGGAACACAAACAACAAGTGTTAGAGAATAAACCAGCACGAAATCTAAACTGAAATGTGTGTAACTGGTAAAACTTTCCGAAACATTTTGCAACATCACAAACACAGAGAAACCATACTGAGACATTGCACAGGCAGAGAGTGCTTCCCCTCGAGTGCATCTTGCAAAGAAATCTTCCAAAGATGACCCACCTCTTTTTAAATAAAAGAAGTTGACATTGGACTCAGGTAAAAATGTAACTAAAAGTTTTTACAATGGGTATTCTTGACAATTCAAAGTTTCTGAGGTTGTGCACGTAACAATGCACCAAAAAAAAAAAAAAAAGGCTGTGTGAAAAAGCAAAAGTTGGAGAAAAAAACAACAGGATGAAGGAGCCTTCCAAAAACAGGCTGACGGATAGATGCCTAAAGGTTGACAAGGGGACGCAGCATCAGGTCGGCCGTGGTCGGCTTTGATTCCCCGACTCGCCTTTGAAGGGCCTCACATCAGATGCAACCCCACACCCCTCCCTTCATCCATCCATCCATCCATCCCTCTCTCCAACTTTCTTTCCTCTTTGCATTCTAAGTGAACAAATTCTGTTTTCCACTCGACCCCTTGAGGGACCATGGTCTTCACATCTACCCATCCAGGGAGAGAGACAGAGAAAGAGAGGGGCAAAGGAAGGCAAAAAATACACAAAACCTGTCTGACGTTGAGGACATAGAACCTTGAGAAGGCCGGTGTGAGGATGAAAGGACAGACAGAACCAAGAGCGGGGAAAAACGGTGAGTACTGCCGACTGAGCCCTGACAACTGAAAACAACAGACTTAGATAAAAAGAAGATACCGAATGTTGAAAGGTGGACTTCGCTTCAAAAGGAAACATGTAAGATGACTGAAATAAGGTGTAAAATGTTATAATGTTTACCCCTCCTAATTGATGACTACGGTTAAATCGTTTTAAGTTTAATAAGGAAAAGCTGAATTAAAAATGCTGATGGTTTTGTTGAGATTTTTTTTTATTGTGAGAGAAAAATCCACTTCCTGGTGTTTTGAACTGCTCAAGGCACAATCCTCATCTTTTAGGCCATACCTATTTGGGATGAATACACATGTATAATTTAAGAGCTTGCCTTAATGAAGAAAAGTTGAAAAGGGGTGTTAACTAATTACAATTAAAAATGTAGGTTGGGGGATTTTCCAGTAAACTTAGCCCACAACTGAGGTGTGAAATGCAGATCAAATAAAGTCATTAAGAGAAGACAGAGGATTAAAGACAGTGCTGCAATACTCACAGCTACTGAGCAGCCCATATTAATCACACAATACAAATCAAAAAGTAAATATGTAGTTGCATCTGTAAGGTCTATGTATAAATACATATAGCTTACCTTGTATAAACACTCCTCCAATCATGACTGGGATAAGTTTACAACACTTGAAGATGACCTGTGTGGGATAGTTCAAGTAGCCCAGAGAGGTATTGGACAGGCCCATAGTGCCCACTGTTAGAAATGCTATGATCATATATGTCTTCCCTGGTATCCTGAAAGACAGAAAAATATAAAGTAGTTAAGAAAGTGATTTCCATGATTAACTGCTGTGTCGCTTGAGAAGATTTTACAAAAAAATGTCCTCAAATATCAGCTGAAGACAGGGTATACATCTTGTAGGAATACCATCTTTAAATGTGAATTATAATATAACTAAAACATGTTAAAAAACTGTTGCAAATGAGTATCAGAGCTTATAAAAAGAGTTGTATGGGACCAGGAGATTATTTACCTTCTGCGTTTGTCCTGTGTGAGCTGAAGCTCCACTAGTCCAAACATGGAGTAGAAGCCAAACTGGACCAGAGTGAGGTACCAACCAAAAGGCTTGAATCCTTCCACAGAAAATATCAACTCCTGGGTGGAGGGACGAATAAAGAATCACTGAGCAGGTAAGGATAGTGTTCTGAAGGCCATCTTGTAATACAAACTTTCACGTCACGTACTGTCTTATATGCAAGTTACACCTAGTAAAACAACTAATAAATGCATGTGAACAAGCTTTGGAGAAGCTACATTTGCTGTTCTTTTATATCTGTACATACAAACAGACACACAAAGCCATTGCAACAAGCAGTATCCGTCCACTTTGACGAACGTCAACTGATTACTTCAAGATAATTTACCATATGTGTATGAGTGTGTTCAAGAGCATCTCTCAGATAGTCTTTCTTCCTGTGTTACCTGAAGGTATCCATAGATGAGGTAAAAGACGAAGACTCCAGCCACACAAATGAAGAACTGTGTGGGGGCACTGAAGCTGCTCAGGTTGATTCCCAGGACCCTAAGCTCCTCCACAGACTTTATGTGGGGGGACATCACCTCTGTGGACGACGGGATGGAGATTGAAATGTGTTTCCGTGAACTGTTGTAGCCCACCAGGCCATATTTGGCGCTCATTGTGTCTGTGGCTGCTGGGAGCTGTGGGGACATAAAGAGAGGTTTAGCCAATAATAATATAGGACATCATTTTCTCTTGCTGTAGTGTCAAACTCAGCCTGGAGCTTTGGTAGGAACAGAGAACAAACGCTCAGAGTGGCATTAGATCATTCTCGTTGATTAGCAATGCAGACAGATACACCTTTATATACATTACTGTAACTAACATTAGGTAAATCACCTGATATAACAAAGTGGATAAACTTGACAATAAAAGATCGATGGGACGGACTTAGGCGAGAGCTAAGCTTTCATTGTGACAGAACCATAGTGAAAAAAGTGAGACCTGTTCAACCTGTTGCACTAAAGAAAAAAAGAAAAAAAGAAAAAAAGAAAAAAAGAAAAAAGATGCTCAGCTGAAGCCACTTTCTTCCTTATTTGAATATGAAAATAGTTGTTGACTATAATGTTATGCAGAGAGGTGAATATCTTGCAAACACTGAGCCAGTCAGTCTCTGTGACACTGAAACATCACAACACGTTGACAGACGCATGCACAGACTTGCATTCATGCTCCAACACTTATATATTATTATTATATATATATATTCCTCACAGGCCTTTGTTAAGCATTCACAAGCTCTTATGTTGTTTTTCCACTCTAAAATATGTCTGATGTTGTTCTTATTTGTATCACTGATCACAGCCCCTACATAATGTGGACAGTTTATATGTTGGGGGGCAGTGTATGGATATTAGGAGACGTGAGGGGAAGATAAATGTGCTCTAATAGCCTTGATCTAAACAAAATAGATTAGTCCAAGACTCCAAACTGCTGCATCACATTCAACTCGTAGATATGAAGTAGCTCACTGATATTAAAGTGTGATATGTTTAGTAAACGTAGACAGAGAGTAACGTTAGCTAGGCTACAGGAAGCAGCCGGTTGCTAACGACTCAATCAGCGTTAGGAGCTTTCATTTGGTGGCTAAGCATTTTAAGACGAGTGCTAATCCTAACTATCAACGTCAGCTTATGAGACGACGACTGCGAGCGACTCGTTTCATCCCTGACTTTGGTTTCCAAGCCAAACAAGCGAGCTACAGTAGCAAGCTTGTTACCTTTAACAACACTTCCGGCTTTCTTTACGTTAGCTGCTCCTCTTCCTCAGAGGCGATGCCGCTGGAAATCATTTCCCCGGGCGTGGCGGCTTCATCTTCCGCACATGTCGAACGGTTTCATGGTTTTCCTTTCCGATGCCAACCATCCAAAACCCGTGTTAGCCGCTAAAAGCTGCCTGCAGGCTGCAAAGGCAGAGGCAGCCAACAACTTCCGCTCCGCTGCGACCTCTGAACTGCGATGTGATTGGTCTACACGGCCACGCGTTGTGCCAGGTGAATCATCGGTCCGGTGGAGAGCAAACATTTAATAAGGTTTTAAATGCAAAAGTAAATAAACCAACGCCACGAACAGGATGTTCACCGGACTAATGCAGTGTTTTATTGAGAGTCAGAGGGCACAGGGTAGCTACATGTCTTACCTGTGCTGAAGGATCCATCTTGAGTTACACGGTGAGTTTGCTGCTTCAGTCACCACCACCACAACAACAACAACAACGCGAGTTGTGCTGGTTTGTCCAGTTTAGCAACATAGTTCCCTCCTCCTGTGATTGGCTTCTTCAAGCACCCACCCACCTCCTGTGTGACTTATCAGACAATGTCAATTTATGGATCATATAATATTTCACTTTAGTATTAAAATAGGCAGTATTGATAATAATGTGAACTCAGATGTAAGTACATTTACTCACTTACTCAAACATCCTACTGTACACTGCTTTTCAATTTCATTTAAGGGGGCATTTTGTACTTATTATTCCACTACTTTTTAAACAACTATAGTAATTTGCAGATTGAGATTTTGAAAAACAAGCAAGCAAACAAACAGTATGTTTGTAGATGCATTGCTATAGGCCTAACCTGAGCGAACAATCTTGACCAGCTATGGAATTAAAATGCTGCTTACATGTTGATGCATCAATGACTATGTTAAATATGACTGTATAAAATATCACTGACAGTGGCCGTTCTGCTGCATAGTACATTTTACTGCTACTTCTGTACTTTTACTCAAGTACCATTTTTAATGCATGACTTTTATTTTTAATGGAGTAGTTTTTACATTGTGGTCTTGTTTGGATGTCTGAACCTCACTGATGATGTATGTGCACAGTTTGATAATAGAAATATTTTTTCATATTCATTTGCAGAAATTGGAAAGTTTCACAGTGCGTATAAAACTCTGAATTTAAAGGGTGGGGCCTATGAGCACTATTTGTGACATCACAAATACTTTAGAAGTCATTCCTGGTCCAGTATCAACTTATACAAGTGTGCTGTAGAAATTTGAGGCCACCTGTGCACATACACTGAGAATGGACTTTATAGGGAAGTACGAGACTATGATTTGCATATTCCTAAATTCTGTAATTTTTAATCAGGTAGAAAGAGTTGATGTGTTTTAACGGTTTTATTGTGGAAACTGCAATACTTTTTTGCAAAAGAAAACATATCAGACACACATTATTGTTCCTAGCAGAGTATTTTTATATGTCGTAATACATGTCTGGAGGGGATTTTTAAATTGAACAACAAAACAATATTATGATTATCATGTTCAGGTATCATCTTAATATTGTGGTAAGGTATATGCTGTAGAAAAGCTCTATCCCTATATCTTCTCCTCCAGCCTCGGTGCCCCCTTCATCTCCTCCCTCCATGCCATACCCCCATTTCTTCCAGACTCCCTCTTCTTCCCTCTTTTCCTCTCTGTCTTTCCCATTAACTCTCCTCCTCCCCCTTGCAGTCATGTCCATATATGCCCCCCCTCCTTCCCTCTCGCTACATTTCTTTCTCTCTAAATCCTTATTGCATTATTCCCTACTCTCTGGTCTTCTGTTCTGTCTTCTGGCCATCTCATATCCCTGTCTCTCCCGCTTTGGCTTCCCCAGCATAAGGCATGGAACTCTCTGTTACCCCTTCATTTCTTTCCTAGCCTTCTTTTCTCCCTGCTGTCCAATCTCAAAATCCCTCCCTCCGCCTGCCTTCTTTCTCTCTCTCTCTCCCTCTCCCTGTCCTCTTTCCCCAGCCAGAGGTTAATACACTCCAGGATGGCATTATTTCCTCCCCGGCCCTCTGACAATATAAAAATTCAGAATGGACAGCTCAATCCCTCTTCCATCTCAGATTTGATTGTAATGGTATTGCCTCCTGTCCCTGGGAGGCCCCTGCCGCCTCGCCAACCCGGCCTTTATGACACTAAATGGCCAGGCTACAATTTTTCCATCTATTCAAAAAATTCTGTTAATAACTCATTTGGAATGAGACGTCTGCACTCCCTGGGCCGTCTGCGGCCAGGTCTCTCACCCCTCTGCTCATAGGGGTCACAATATACAGAAAAAGATGCAGGGCTGAATCGCAAATGTAAAAGGTTAATTAATCTCTCTGAATTTACAATCTCCCTCCTCCATTCCCCTTGCACTCCAATTGACAGTCCCAAAGAGACAAAAATGTCATATTTACAACCTCGCATGGAGAAAGTGCTTAGCAGTTGAGCGCAGGCGCAGGCCCGTCCGACCACTTTCCCTCTCCCCGTCCAACTTTACAAGTGTACCCATTCATCACATGTGATGGATTTATGTAATAAAACCCATTTCCTTTTCCCATACGATCCTATTAAATAATAAAATAATTATTTATTGATTATTCAAAAAGGTACATATGCGCGGGTAATGGCTTTGTACCACACCACTGGACCTGCAATAAATAAAGCAGGCAGAGAGAAGGCTTGGGCGAGACAGGGAGGAATAAAGCAGAGAGAGAGAGGGGGGGGGGGGAGAAATGAAGGGATATGAAATGACTTTTGAACCAGTGAAATCTTGGATCCAATGATGCCCTTCAGCGCGATCAGGAAGGCCATGTATTCAATCTTCAGGAGCAGCGCGCGCGGGCGGCCGCCGTGGGAGTCGCCGCCCGCCCGCACTGGGCGAGGTGGACGCCGCGCCCGCCGTAGCTATCGGCAAGAAATAAAATAGAGCAACTGGGTGATGTGTCCCATTGTACAGTACTTCTTAGACATCCACACATTTGTTCTTCTATGTAGGAATAAAATAGTTTCTTATAAACAATGGGTGTTACAAAAAGATCTACTGACTTCACGATTCCCTGCACCTAGCTAACTAAAACACACATTGAGAGAAACAGGAACTACGTGCACCCATTCAGCAACACATAATCCAGTAAAAAAGTTTGAAGCCTACCTCCATACCCCTTCTTCATTAGAAACCCATCCTTACAATCTCCTGCGTTACGTGCTTACCGTCCGCGACCGTCCTAGGAACAGGCAGAGCGAGCGCCTGAGTCTGCACAGCGCACCTGAGCAGCGGGTCCACGACGCCGCTGTTTGCTCTCTGTTGGCAGCTCGTCTGCGCGCGCGACAGCGCGGCAGCCGCAGCGCCTTCCTCCGGTCGCCGGTTTCTAGGCTTGAAAGCTGGCTCAGCCGCACCACGACCGATGGCGGGCCGCGGTACCACCATTCTGTTTTGCTATTTCCGTCAGATCGTCGTCTCTCCCTGAGCGAAGCGACGACGACTCCACAATAGTACCGAAAGCATCCACTCCGGGCTGGGCGCGCGGCGCGCGGCGCGCGCGGCGGCTAGGGGAGCGGAGGCGGTCGTGGCGGTGGCGCGCGCGATAGTTAGGGTTATTCAGCGCGCGAGCGGATCAGTACTCATGATAAGAGCCCCGCGCCGATAAGCTCCGCGCCCCAGCATGG